ACAACACACAACAACACACAACAACACACAACAACACACACAACAACACAAACAACACACAACAACACACCACAACACCACAACACACACAACAACACACAACAACACACAACAACACACCACAACACACAACAACACACCACAACACACCACAACACACAACAACACACAACAACACACAACAACACACAACAACACACAACAACACACAACAACACACAACAACACACAACAACACACAACAACACACAACAACACACAACAACACACAACAACACACAACAACACACAACACCACACAACAACACACAACACCACACAACAACACACAACAACACACAACAACACACAACAACACACAACAACACACAACAACACACAACAACACACAACAACACACAACAACACACAACAACACACAACAACACACAACAACACACAACAACACACAACAACACACAACAACACACAACCACACAACAACACACAACAACACACAACAACACACAACAACACAACAACACAACAACACACAACAACACACAACAACACACAACAACACACAACAACACACAACAACACACAACAACACACAACAACACACAACAACACACAACAACACCACAACAACACAACAACAACACAACAACACACAACAACACACAACAACACACAACAACACACAACAACACACAACAACACACAACAACACACAACAACACACAACAACACACAACAACACACAACAACACACAACAACACACAACAACACACAACAACACACAACAACAACAACCACAACAACACACAACAACACACAACAACACACAACACACCACGACACACACAACAACACACAACAACACACAACAACACACAACAACACACAACAACACACAACAACACACAACAACACACAACAACACAACAACAACAACAACACCATCAACAGCAGCAGCAGCAACAACAGCAACAACAACAGCAACAACAACACCAACAGCAACAACAACAGCAACAACAACAACAACACGAACACGAACACGAACAATACCAACACCAACAACACGACCAACAACACCAACACCACCAACAAACCCAACCACACCAACAACACTAACAACACTAACAACACCAGAAACACTACCACCACCAACAACACCAACAACACCAATACCAACAACACCAACAACACCAACACCACCACCACCACCAACACCACCAACACCACAACCACCACCAACCCCAACCACATCGCCGAAGCCTTTCAGTCGCTTTTACCAGACTCCCCTTCATATTTTTGGAAAGAAAATGGCCGCGTCGCTTTTACCAGACTCCACTTTATGTTTTTTTCCCTGCCCTCTCCCCTTCATTTTTTCTTCGGTTCCTTTCTTGCTTACCTACCTTTCGTGTTCCCCCTCTCAAGTCGGGGGATTTTTGATTACCATATTAAGATCTCTGAATCAATTTGGAGAGTGTATGTCTTTTATTTCAGTTGTTGAATGCCATTGCCCACTTGCAAATATGAACATATATATGAACATATATGATCATATATGAACATATATGAACATATATGAACATATATGATCATATATGAACATATATGAACATATATGAACATATATGAACATATATGAACATATCAACAAACACGGATGATTTGACCATATTTGACTTATACAAACAACGGCTAAAAATTGGTCCATCTCATAGAAATGTGAAGAAAATCCAGGGGCCATTTGGGATCATGCAGGTGAAGGTTTAACTCCAATAATTCCAGTAACGCCATGGTTTATAACTGGTTTATTATGTTTTACCCTTGTGTAAACATACAAAAAACTATGGAAAATCACAATGTTTATTGGGTAAATCAACGAACTAAATGGCCATTTTCAATAGCTATGTTAATTTAGCAGAGGGTACAACTTATAGTATAACTTATAGTTAAGTTCAAATTCTTCACTATGGTTTATGATACTTATATACTTGTATAGCTATAGTATTCATAGGGTCTATGAACCAACTTATACCTGTGCCCCAGCAGATGAATGGGATAACGGATAAGCCACTTTTAGAGACGAATGCCATCACCGTCATAGATTCATCACGAGGTGGGATGATACATGGCTTTGATTGGCACATGGGTGTGACATAGTGCAACCTATGTTTCTGAAGGATCTTTTTGGTTCATGACGTTCCCACCCAAATTTTCCAAGAATGGGGTAAAAACCTCATTTTTATGGACAACACAAACCGCATTTTAGGACTATGGAACGACATCACCATCTTGATTCTCTTCGTGATGTGTGGATGGGCGACTTGCTATACCGACATTGCACCACTGTGGCAAGAGGAGAAATCTGATCACACAGCTGCCGAGGGTCGATATTGATGGATGTTGATGGATGCTGATAGGGTGTAAGCCATTCATGTTTCGCAAAAATATATGATACTCTTCAAACACTAACTATATTCCTGTCCTTTGTTTCCAATAGTTGGTATTTAAAATTTGGCATATTCCCCTACCCCACATTGACCACTACAGTAGAATGTGCATCCAGGTGTTGACCTTAGGTCATTGTTTGCCAAGTGTACAAGGCGTATCAAGGCGTGGCCCCCAAACAATAGCTACAATGTGAGGCCCCCAAGATAGCTAAGTTGGTTTATAACTCCAATAACTATGGTTTATGGTACTTATAACTATAGTTACTGGGGCTTATAAACCAACTTATCACTGGGGGGGCCTCACATTGTAAGTATAGCTAAGTTGGTTTTGGTGAATTCTATGTTTTTTCTATGTTTTATGGATGTCTATTGTAGACAGGCAGACAGACAGATAGGTACAGTAGGTTGGTAGATAGGTAAATTGGTAGATAGACAGACAGACAGAGAGAGAGAGATATATATATAATATTATATATATATATTAATATTATTATTGTTATTATTATTATATATAGATATATATCTCTATGCAAATCGAACCAGCTGATGGGTTTAAAAGAAAACAACCAACATAGCCGCAGTGCAGCACTTTTTTTTTCGGCCGTTTCTCGCCCTTTTTCCCGGTCGCACAGGAGATGGCACCGGCAGTTGATTGGTCCTGCCTGGTGGCATCCATCATGACTGCCACTGCCGTGGTTTTCGAGCTTAGTGCGTTGCTCATTGAGTACAGCGCCTCGGGTTGAGACTGGACTGGGAAGCCAACTGCATTAAAAAAGGGATGAAAAACCACGAAAACTGGTGGATGCACTTGCGAAAACCCTCCAATTCTGGCCATTTTGAGGGGGAAAAATGGTAACTTCGGAACAACAGCCCATTGCTGATTCTATAATGGTGATTTTTGGTGATATATCTACCAAATAGTAGTTTTAACCATTAAACATGGGGGCGTAATTGGTTTTCTCTGGTGTCATCAAACATGGCTGGCTGGGAAATCCCGGAACTGAAGCGCGGCAAGTTGGGGAATCTACACGGAATAGAGTTTGGTTGTTGTTTACTGGGCCCTAAAAAAATCAAGTCTAAAAATTGGACTCATTTCATGCATGTTGATTCGTTGTTTGAAGCGGAATGGTTGGTTGAGAACTTGGGGTAATCATCGTGGCAATGGAACAATGATCCATGCAGGATTTATCCATTCTTCCAACGGCCGTTGAAGCCGTCGCAATGTTTATGGGATGTGCCTTAAGATGATTTCAGCACGAGAAGGATTAGCCCTTTCATAGGCCATATACCTGCTTATATATATATATGATATATATATATATATATATTTGGTTGGTGGTTTGGAACAGTTTTTATGTTTCCATTCAGTTGGGAATGTCATCATCCCAACTGACGAACTCCATCATTGTTCAGAGGGGTGGCTCAACCACCAACTGGATATATATATATATATATATAGATATTACATAGGCCTTATATCTACGTATATGGTTGCATGGCCATTGCTTTTTCATGGGGTCATTATGGATCATAGCTATAGCTATTAGCTCATTTTCTTCTAGTTTTTAGCGACATAACTATATGGAAAACCATTACCCTCTGGTAAATTAACATGCATAGACCCTGAAAATCTTCCAACCCCTATCTGGCAGGGTCTATGTTAATTTCCTGGAGGGTATTTCTGATAGCTAACTCAACGAACTAGATGGCCACGGCTTCAATAGCTATGTTAAATTACCAGGGGGGTAAGTACCACATATTCATATACGATCACATATTTGTTAATTGAGCATCTCCCAATAATACCACTATTGCTGAGGGTCTCCCACTCAACTATTAGTTGGTTAGCGGCTTGATTTTCCATTTAAGTAGAAAGGCCCGGTGACTAAGGGGAATATCAACTAACTCAGGCTTAGGGGGATATCATGTAACTAACAAGTACTAAAGATAAATGCTGGTTGGTGGTTTGGAACATGTTTTATTTTTCCATATATTGGGAATAGTAACCCCAACTGACGAACTCCATCATTTTTCAGGGGGTGGCAAAAAACCACCAACCAGAAATTAATTATTAACCATCATTAACAATATAATAACCATATATTAACCATATATTAACCACAATGGTAGGTCAACCACCTAACAGAACAGATTGGTAGCTAATTGGTTGCAAAAGAAAGACTTACATCATCCACAAAAGCCTGGCCCATCTGGCAGAGGTCCAGCAGACTTGCCCGTCTGTGTGAACACAAACGATTCCAAGGTCATGCTCTTTGCAACCTGGCCATGTCTGAAATGAAAAATGGGGGTACCCCAAGCTCGCTGGATTGTTTATAAGGGAAAATCTATCTATAAATGGATGAAAACTGGGGGTACCCGCATGGATTGGAAATATGAAAAATGGGGAGGTATCTGCATATATATATATATGATATATATATATATATAGAGAGAGAGAGAGAGCTTCTGGCTGTGTATAGAATGTTATGGAAAATGCTCCATTGATAGATGATTTACAATGATGTACCTGTTAAACATGATTAAACATGATGATCTTAAATAGCTACATTAAATAAACGGAGGGTATGTATAAGAAAAGGGAATATCATGGGATATAAAGAGAGACATAATGTTCGTAAAACAAAAGTAAACCAGCAATCATATCTTGATGGTTTATACCAGCCATTTGTGGTAAAACTGGGCATGGTTTATTGCTTCACCAACATTATCAAGTAGTGTTTGCTATTTAAGTAGGATTTTGCTTTTCATTTTTTGAGGCTTACACCATCATTACATTTATATATATATATATATGTGTGTGTGTATGTGTGCCTATAGATGTCTACATAAATAGTGTCTGCAGACACCTAGTATGACTTCTTTCTCTAAAGTTGAGTTCTGCTCATGGGGCTCTTTTTGCACAGGATATCTACTCTTGTTCAGTTTTTCTTGGATCTTGATCAGACTGGCTCGCATTTTTGGGGGGTTGAAGCCACCGACCAGCCGTTGAAAAATGTTGAAAACATCGACCGGGGGAGCTGGAAGGAATAGCCTTGTCAACCGATACACATCTGTGCTACTATTATCTGAACAGTTTAATTCAGACATTTGAATATGTGCAATGATGATGATGATGGTGATGATGATGATGATGACGATGATGATGATGATGATGATGGTGATGGTGATGCCGATGCTGATGATGATGATGGTGATGATGATGATGATGATGGTGATGGTGATGGTGATGCTAATGATGATGATGATGATGATGATGGTGATGCTGATGCTGATGCTGAAACTGATGATGATGATGATGATGGTGATGGTGATGGTAATGCTGATGCTGATGATGGTGATGATGATGATGATGATGGTGATGGTGATGGTGATGCCGATGCTGATGATGATGATGATGATGGTGATGGTGATGGTGATGCTGATGATGATGATGATGATGTTGGTGATGATGATGATGGTGATGCTGATGCTGATGCTGATGATGATGATGGTGATGGTGATGGTAATGCTGATGCTGATGATGGTGATGACGATGATGATGATGATGATGGTGATGGTGATGCCGATGCTGATGATGATGATGATGGTGATGCTGCTGATGATGATGATGGTGATGGTGATGGTGATGCCGATGCTGATGATGATGATGGTGATGATGATGATGATGATGGTGATGGTGATGCTGATGCTGATGCTGATGCTGATGCTGATGATGATGATGATGGTGATGACGATGATGATGATGATGGTGATGGTGATGCTGATGCTGATGATGATGATGATTCGATGATGATGATGATGATGACGATGATGATGATGATGGTGATGGTGACGATGATGGTGATGGTGATGGTGATGAGAAACCAACGGATATTTGGTTTTATCAAAATCAGTTGAAACTCAAAAGTCAGCGTCGGCAACTGTCTGGGTTTTGAGTTTCAGATTTTTCCGGCGACCTCAGTGAGTGAGTCTTATCGCCAAGTTTGCCGGCTTTCCACTGAGGTTTATACATGTTTGTCCGTCAGCTATTTCAAAATGGCTGTTTCCGGCAACCAGCCGCTCAGCCCGCAAATCCAAGCGCCACGTTTTTTAAACAGCTCGGAGTTTTTGGCATGTTTGAGGCTGGATCAAGAATATGTTCCTACCCCAGATTCAGGGGGGGGTCCCCCAAAATCAACGGGAATTTCAGGATCCTAAAATGGAGGTACTGTACCATATAAGGCTATGTTTTGTGGGGATATTCCCTTACATAGGCCTTACATAGACCTTATATATGGTAGGTACCTCCAATAAATCGGTTCCTGAAATGGCCATTGAAAAAAAGTGACATGGTGACAATCTTCTTACTAAGATGGTACTCACCCCATTAGTCAAGGCGGCGGATATCTGTGACTTTCCATTCCTACTTGACCGCCGACAGGATTTGGGTATCGGCAAGGTCTTGCCACAGCTAAATCCAATCAGTTTGCCCAATTTTGGACTCAGTTCACTTCTATATTTGTATGATTTGTATGTGTATATATATATATGTAATTGCATATGTTATGTACATTTCATTTTTTGTACGTATACATTTTGCACTGACGCATGAGCGCATTGTTTGCCATCAGCACTGTTTCCCCCGTTCTTCTTCGAAAAGCCCTTTAGTATCCATTTAATTTCCTATATATGTCTTCAATGAAGGCAGAAAATTAAGGGCCAAGCATTGTTTCAAAAGACTTTCAGGCCCAGATTTGAAGTTATTCTGTGCTATTCTATGCTATTCTACCATCATGCTGTGTCGATATTTCCTTCATATCTCCCTCCATTTTTCACTTAGTGACTTAGTGGCTAATGTCTGGGGGGCAGCATCTCTTAACAACTATCTTCACAAACTCTGTTGTATGAGTTTCCGGCTCATGACCTTGGTTCTTGGCGTTTTGAAGATGCTTGAGCCTGGGTGATCTCTTGGTTTTCCTGGTCCCAGAGATGTGTTTTTAATAATTAAGTTTGCAACGGTAGATTAACCACCAGGAGGGCTAAGATTCTGCTTATCCTTTCTGACTTTCCTTCCAAATTCCATTACTTTCCCTGTTCGATGTTTCGATGGATCGAGGTGGGTAAGGTCCAAGGTCTGACGTTGCGTTTTGTCGAACTCAGGTGGGTTCATACAGATCCTTTAGCCTTTGGTGGTCCACGGCCAGTGTACACCTTGCGGTACCTGGAGCCTCTCAGCTGGGCCTGGGGAATCGCTAGAGGTGTCGTGTTTCATTTTTTGGGGGATCATCAAGGCCAAAGAATGGGCCAAGAAACATCCAGAGAGTGGAACGAGATGAACCCAGTGGCAAATCATGGCCCATTTACCTTTTAGCTCTAGGGGTATCAATAGTCGTATTGGAAATCATCTCCCGCATATGCCCCCAAGAAAAAAGAGGTTTACTGTCATGACTGCACTGTCGAGATAGCCACATAGCAAAGTTCAGGAATTCCGGGCATATTCAGACACCGTGTTTGCCAATAGGGGTCAGAAGGTTATATCAAGTTATATCCACATATTTGATCATATTTGCACATGACCTGCAACAACATGATAACTAATGATAACAATGATAAAGTGATTGAGTTACAAGTATGCAATGTTAGTAATGTTAGACTATTAGTGGCTACATGGTAACGGCTTGATTAGGTCCCAGGATGGTCCCAGGATGTTTTTCCGGCCGAGGTGGAGCATCGCTATGCCTTTGTTGATCTCCTTATCTGGCGACACAGAGGAGGAGGAAGAAGGACACCCATTTTGTCGCCTCAAAGCCTTGTAGCCTAAATTTCAGGGAATATCCCCACAATTCATATGGCCAAACATATGGTACGTTTACGTACCTCCATCAATTGGATCCTGGAGATCTCCCATTGATTGAGTGTGGTTTTGGGGTTCATTCTAACCTCTGCTAAGCTAACGTCGCGAACTGGAAAATCCCCATGTTTGAGAGGGAAATCAACAATAACTGGCCATGGCTTCAATAGCTATGTTAAATTACCAGAGGGTATGGGTTTCTTGATGCATGTGTCTCCCGGGCTCTCAATATCTATCAATGGCATTTGTTTGCCCCAGCTGTTTTGGAATCCATGGCCCAACATGGATATGTATACATCCTTTGGTAAATGAATATAGCTATGGAAAACCCCATATTTAATAGGTAAATAATCTATAAATTGGTCATGTTCATCCATTTTCCATAGCTATGTTGAATTACAAGAGGGTAATATAATTGGGTATGTTTGGCCTGCTTCCTTCAAACCCACCGAGACAATGTAGTTCAATTTGTCCACATCATTCACATGAATTGCCGGCAAATAGTTTGCACAGTCTGAGTTTTGACGAGGTCCAAGCTTTCATTGATGAGCTCCACGTTAATCAAACCCCAAGAAATCTAAGGTATCTGTATAAATCCTCATGATAATCGATTAACACCCCATAGAAATCACCATAAATCCGTTATTCCAAAGTCTTCTCACCTTGGTTTGTGAGCACCGGTAAATATAGCTATGGCTATTTATAGCTACATATCCACCATAAACCCAAACCTTACCAAGTTATAAGCCAACTTAGCCAAACTATGAAGAAAACACGTGTGTGTGTGTACATACATGGAATCCCCAAGTAAATCTTTGAACACACCCTGTGTGTAAGGTACCCCTCGTCGATCCCCTAGGTATTCTAATTATTCTAATTCCTTTGGTTTATCATCATTGGTCCTATTCACATGGCCAGCTTGACTTGTTTTGACCTGTTTTGACCTCCTTTCGCAACGCGATGTAGTCAGAAAATAGCTATGTTTATATGCTTATATAAAAAGACTTTTGTAACCCCAACTGCACCCTCATGTAGGTCACACACACAGATATGTATATATATATATAAATATATCCCCAGCCCCATGATATCCCCATACAATCCAATAAAATCACCATAAAACCCTCCAAGTACACTCCATCTTTTGTGTTTTTCCTCGGGTTGTTGCGATGTCAATTTGTCGCCAGGATTGGAATCTTGGAATGACCAGAGCACTGGCGAGGTAACCTTGAGCGGCGACAGTGCAAACTTTGTCAGGGACCAGGCAAGGCACTTAGGAAAATGCCGTTTGATTTCATGGGATGGTGAATTATTCGGATCCAATATGATTTAACGTGGGTTTCACGGGATTTTATTATATATATATACATAATTATATATATATATATGTGTTGTGTGTGTTTGGCTCCTGCATGATGTAGCGGTTCTCGCTGCGGCAGATGCGCAATAAATTCTAGTCCTTCCCTATGAAGGTTCCAAGGGCTTTGTCATGCATCTTTCTTCATTGACTCAAAAAAGCCGATGGAAGGACGCCCGAATCCATGCCGACGTGTGGATTCGCTTTACAAAAATCTGTGCAAAAGGCTTTCGCTACAGAGCTGCATAGTCCAGGTGGATACTCTTTAAGTGGCGCGGTTCTGACTCGACCATATTCATCTCGGCCTGCTGAAACGTTGTGCGGAAGCATCGTAGTCAACATACCAGAGTGAAGGTCTTTTTCCAATGTTGGAAGTCGCAACGCCAAGAGATAAGAGGGTAGTCGGCTTTGGAGACTGCGCTCCAAACAACCCCTGAGCCACATGGACCTGCCTCATACCTGGCAATTGGATAATGAGTCGCAAGGCCGGCAAACGCCAGATGCTGACAGCATCTGACAGCATTGTCGTCTTCGCTGTCTTTCGGATGCTCAAGCAGTCCTGACCCTCCATGCAACGCCATAGCGAGCATGCATTCAAAGGAAAAGCTCAGCAGGATGTGTCCACGCATGACTTGATTCAGCTCACTGTAAGGATTCAAGATATTCAAGGCCCCACGGCGCCGAGGGAGTGTGCACCACCCTCGGGCCTTTGCCATCAGGCAATTGTAAGGCCCTCGCTTTGCTCCATGTATTACAGGGTGGACCTGCCAGAGCCAGAATTCTCTCGTTTCCTTTTTCAAGATATCACCGTATATTGGGAGTCGATGATAGAAACTGTCATGAGGACAAATCCTTCATCGGCATCCGTAAGACGATCCAAATCTCCTCGTCGCCTCCTGCCTGCAAACGCATGGAGGAGGATCTTGTATCGAGTCACGGTCTGTGGCAATGGTCGCAACTGCTGTTGGTGGCTGGCTGGCGTGGTTCGTGCACCGCTGCTCCCACTAACACAAAGCGTTGCTTGGGTGCAAGCTGTCAGCGCTCCTTGCAGAGTTGCAAGCTCGCAAACAATCCTGAAGCACACTAAGTGAGAAGGGAAGAACTTCTCCATCTTCAATTCCAAGATTATCATGTAGATGCTGCAATGTGAGTTTACATTGTGTCCAGCTGATGGGATACTGGAAAGTCAACTGGGTTGCAATAACACAAAGAGAGATGACCAATCAGGCATTAGGCACCTGCAGAAGCCAGAATCCAAAATCCACAAAATTGGGGAGCAAGTTCAGGAAAATCCACTGAAATACAGGCCCAAACAGAAGATGATGGATGATGCGCGAGACAGGGTTTTTTTATTTAGAGTGAGCTGACCCTTAACTCACTAGGCAACGAAGTCTTGGTCAGGAAGTCCAAGAAATGCGAGAGCCCGCGGGCAAACACCGGTGCCCACTCAGGTTATGGCAGCCAAAACCCCACGGATCGATGGGCGGGGGGCGTTTTGGGCCAAGACCTATATATATATATGTATATATATATATACATATATACATATATCCCACTTGGGAGCGCAGTGGGGGTGAGCTTCATGGGTACAAAAATAGGATTTAAAACCTGAAATGAGTTGGGAAATGTGAAGCATTGTGAGGCCTTGTGGCTGCACCTGGTGGCTTATATATCCCTGGTAAACGTCGGCGGATAAGGATGCTTCATCGGTTCATCTACTTCGAACTCTGCTGAACCAAGCTTACTAAGGTTTCCTAAGTGGGAAGAACCGCCAAGTAGTTAATGTAGTTATGAAAGTCACACTTCATGTGCTACAAAGTGGATAAGTTAAGGGTAACCGCAGTTCTTTTAGGCGGCAGTCACTTAATGTGGTGCGTCCCTAGCCATAGGTTGGTGTACAAAGTTCATTTCATCAAATCAATATCTACCATAAACATCCATAAACCGCAGAAATATATTAGTCAGAAGCTAACATGGCTAGCTAGCTAGGTCCACATGCCACAGCCGGCCACAAAATATATAGTTATTTCAACTTTCAACCATTTCATTTGTTTTGAAGTAATTATGCAATTCCAATGGTGTCTATGCAGAGGTTTTCATTAGACATGCAAGATGCGTAGTTCCTTTTTAGGGGCAAATGTGGTCATCAAAGGTTGCCATGTCATCACAGTGTTCAGGGATTCAGGCATGGCTGCGCTCGCCATGATACGCCGTTGAAGTTGGAGGTTGCAGTCACGCCGTTTACGTTGAAGGTGTCAGCGCCAGCGGCCGCCAGCGCCACTGGCTGAAAAGCCTTTCCAGGGTAATTTGTGGAACTTTGATTCAAACTTGCTTCAGCAAAGGCTGTATACCACGACCATTGCTGCAAAAAACGCGGCGTTTAGATGAATCAACATGCCGATACTTGGGCTAGTCGGTAGCTGTTTTGACTTGCTCTCGCGCAAGGCTGCTTGCCTTGTGTGAAAATGTAGCGCAAAATATCTCATGCGCACGCGCGCACATACATCCACGATCACCCACGTGCGTCGATACATTTCAGTTTCTAAATAAAAACAGCAGCTACGTATCAGTTTTCCTGACATGATGCTGGAAAAGTGGTCGCCATAGATTATTTGTGTATATTTGTGTAATCTACCCTTCCATAGGTAAACCCATCACTTTTAGACACGCCCAACTATCATATTAAGTTGGTTAAATATCCCAATTCTAGTCGGTTATATGATATATCCCAAATTCCAATTATACTCCTAAGACATTCCAAGTGTCTCCAATATAGATATATCCGAAGGGTAACTAGAGGGAGGAAATATATCAACTTAGATATATCATGATATATCCGAAGCCACTAACTATTCCCCAACTATCATTATATAGATATTATCCAACTATCATTCTCCAACTATTTCTTGTTATTATCCAACTATATGCAACTATCTAGATATATCATGATATCTCCAGTAAAATTACCCCTCAGTTTTCCGGATCTGGTTTCACTCTTCCACAACGGCGTCACCGTACCGCGTTCGTTTCCGGATCGAGGTGACCATGTTGGCCAACTTGCCGCTGGTGGTGGGCCAGAAATTGCTGACGGCGCCGCTGGCGGCCTCCGGCCGATGTACCTGGGATTGACGAAGGTCCATTAATGCTGGTTCATATTATATATTTTTTTTTTAAATCAATATATGGATGATTAATGGATGATTATTGATATAAATAAATAAAAATATATATAATTATATACATATATATATTCAGTCCATACTGGATGATTAATGGATGATTAATGGTATATATATATATATATACAGTAATGTCAACCCTGGATTAATAAACCCCGTTTACGGCTGTTTAATTGGGGGGATACCATTAAGAAGTATTAGATGAAATGACTATTGGAGGAGTACCCCCCTAATTTTCATAAACCATGGTTTATTAATCCGGGATTGACATTAATAACAATGTGGGGCTCCCAAGATAGCTAAGTTGGTGAACATAACTCCAATAACTATGATTTATGGTTTAATCAATGGCCATTCCAGGAACCGATTTATTGGAGGTACCTACCGTATATAAGGCCTATGTGAGGGCTACATTTCAGGGAATATCCCCCAAAAGTGGTACAGTACCTCCATTTTTGGATCCTGGAATTCCCATTGAATTAATGCTGGTTCATATCCATCAATAATGGTTGAGAATGGGATGAATATGGATAATATCCATTAATAATGGTTGATCATGGTTTGTGGGAATTTCATGGGACGCTGACAAATTACATCAAATTAAGAGAGGCTGTGGTGGATTGCATATGCCATGAGAAAATCACAAAATCACTGGCCAAAATTGACAACCCTCTGGTAATTTGTTACATGGCTATTGAAGCCATGGCCCATTTAGTGCGTTGATTTACCGTGTTTAACTGATTGTGATTTTCCATAGCTATGTTAGTTTACCAGAGTTCAAACACATGTTTTTCAAGGAGTACCCAGTACCCTCTGGTAAGTCAACATAGCCTTGGGAAAACCACAATGTCAAACAGGTAAACCATCTATACATGAAATATGCCCAGAGTCCCATAGTGATACTGAATTATTGAAAGGTACCCGCAGTTTACTAGTAGGGAGGTGCCACCTGTAATTAAAACCATTGGGGCAACCAGAAATAAATAATCAGGGTCTCTTAATCCCAGTTCACATTCCGTGGGTTCATCATTTTCCGGGGTTGATCATAATATTTTCCCTACAAAAAGGTTATATATAGTTGTGTATGGCATTTCAACCATTTTTAGACACACCTTTGCTGCGAACTCCAAAAATGAAGATGATTGGGATAAGCGGCGGAAGATGGCTGGATTCTTGCAACATAAAAAAGCAAGGCCTAATTTGGATTTTGTTTTGGGTGCGGTTTTACCTCGAACTCACAACTTGTTGATTACTGGCATTGTTGGGAAATATTCCATGTAAACTGGCAGTGGCTGGGATTTAGCAATTGTTTCAGTACAGAGTTGGGCAACAATCAAATTTCTGACAGATTACCCCTCTGGTAATTTAACATAGCTATTGAAAATGGCCCATTTATAGCTGATTTCCCTAGTAAACATTGTTATTTTCCATAGTTATGTTATGTTTGTTTACCAGAGGGTATATAAGGGATTAGAAAGGCAAAGAAAGAGAGAGAGAGGGAGAGAAAGGGACCGCCTTTTAACCATTGAATTAATCGACACATCTTTAAACAGGTTGGTGTTCGACGTGGTGACCAATGAATAAGCCCCGTCTTCGCCCACCACTTGTCTTCATAAGGGCTCAAATGGGCCAACCCGACCCCGTCTGATAAATATATTGAATGGCGGAATGAATGGGATATTGACTTCAACCTATCTTCACAAGGGATCAAATCCGCTACCCCCTCTGAACAGTGTATTGAATGGAATATTAATTTCAACCTATCTTGCAAAGGGATCAACCTATCTTCTGAAGGGATCAAATGCGCCACCCCTTCGAACAATGGATGGCATAGGATATTAATTTTAACTTAGCTTCGTAAGGGATCAAATCCACCCGCTCTGACACATATATTGAATGTTATATCACCTTTAACTGATCTTCATAACGGATCAAATCCGCCAACAATGATTGAATGGGATACACTCTTCAATTTATCTTATGAAGGGATCAAATCCGCCACCCCTTCTGAACAATTTTGTAATATACGTACATATACAGTCAGGATTACCTGCATAGATTTTTGGAAATACGCAACGTTTCCACAATTCCAGGGCAAATGTCAGCGTTGGAGCAAAAACATCCCGCCGGACCGGAAACCGTTCCCATAAAACGCACGTTTTTTAAAAAAAAATGGTGATTTTACCACAGTGCCGTGCTGATTTGATGATTGGAAATCCTGGAAAAACTTGGGGCGCGTTTTTTGGCTTTTTAGCGTCATCGCAGTAAACGATCCCAGAGTAAACGATCACGTAGCAACATTTAACGTAGTATACGATCCCAGAGATCTCAGCAGCGTACAAACATGTAACGTAGTAAACAATCCCAGTGATCTCAGCAGAGTAGAAATATTTCATGTACGAAGTACAAGGAACGTTAACATGCCCCCCCCCACCCCACCCCACCCCAGCAGCAGCGTAGCAACATGTAACGTAGTAAACGATCCCAGGGATCTCAGCAGCGTGGCAATATTTCATGCACGAAGTACAAGAAACGTTAACATGCCCCCCCCACCCCACCCCACAATCGCGATATTCAAAAACGTGCGTTTTACGGGAACGGTTTTCGGTCCGCAGGCAAAAACATGATACCCTCTGGTAAACTAACCTATGAGAAATGACCATGTTTTAATAGCTCAATCCTCTATAAACTGTGATTATCAATAGTTACAATGTGAGGCCCCCAAGATAGCTAAGTTGGTTTATAACTCCAATAACTATGGTTTATGGTACTTATAACTATAGTTACTGGGGCACTTATAACTGGGGGGGCACATTGTATGTTTGTTTACCAAACGGTATTTCATGTCACTCCTGTCCGAGCCGCTCGTCCCAGGCACGGCAGTCTACATTTGGTCCTCTTGGTTGGCTGTAGTGGTCACAGATGAGGCATGGTCGCGACGCGGGTCGTGTGTTTCGGGACGGTCTTTCTAGAGTTCGTGAGGATTATTGATTTTTGTGTGAAAAACCATTTGAAGTACCCCCAAATCATCCATTTTCATGGGATGTTCCATTATAAACCCTCCATTTTGAAGTACAACTATACTTCCGGCAGCCCTGACAGATGGCCATGGAGAGAGAGAGAGAGAGAACTATACCCATGGCAGTCGTACGGTAGTAATCCTCAATGGGAGATCTCCAGGATCCAATACATGGAGGTACGTTAGTACCATATTTTTGGCCATAGTTTGTGTAGATATTCCCTGAAATTTAGGCCTGAAAAATAGGCCAAAAATATATGGTAGGTACCTCCAATCTAGGATCCTGAAATGGCCATTGAAATCCGGCTTGCAAGGCGGTTAATTTTTGATATTTTTGTTCATGTGAATAATGGTAAAACAATAGTAAAGCACCCCATGTTTGATGGTTTATACCACCCATTTATGGTGATTTTGGGGATGGTTTATTATTGTTTAACCACATTAGTTGTTCTTGTTTCTCTCGTTAAGATGTGTTTTGGTGAAGCCATGCTTGGGAAAGCCCGCTGTTTGGCGACCCCCCCAAGAATGTTTGGTTGAATAGCCATGGTAAATTGTTAGGTACATGTTGTTTAAACCGGTGTTTGAGTGGGCCAATAATGATTCAACAGTTTTTCTACGAAGAAAGTGTGCAAATGAGGATATAACCAAACATACCAAGTTACTAAGAAATCATGGGGAAATGGTGGGATGGGATATTCCAAACATCTTTGGCATGGACAAAGATATTTACCCTCTGGGAAACTAACATAGCTATGGAAAATCACCATTTTTAATGGGAAAATCCACTATAAATTGTTATTTTCAATAGCTATGTGTATGTTTACCGGAGGGTATTTGTGGGAAAACTTGAAAAATCACCCCACCATGAAAATCAAGCCTTGCAGCAACGGATATTTTACGTGATTCAGAATGTATGGGATTTGGTCATTTTTGGGTCCTAGAACTGGGGAGTAAAAAATGATGATCGGGTGATGGGGCCTGAGTGATGGTTATTGAACCCTCTGCAGTTTGATCCATTTTGTGTATTGGGGCTTTGTGATGGGGCAGCTGTTGGTAGCCCTGGTGGTTTGACAAGCTGCGGTAGCGGACAATCCGCTCCTGGAATCCCTATGTGTTGGATACAAGACATCCCGGGTAGCAACGTGAATGTGGTTTACTTTTCTATCTCTTTGGGAATCCCTTCATATACGTGCAACAATGATCAAACAAACATGTCTGAGTTAAGCAGAAATCAGCGCAGTGATTGGAGGGAGCTTGCTCCTGGCATTTAAGGTGGTCATTACACCAGATTTCTTTGAAAACAGCGTCGGAGAAAATCAAATGGTTTGAAACCTTATTTTCCCCATGAAATGAAAATGCCATATAATATTGGAGGACAACCCCCTTTTTGCTCCAATTTTTCAGACGCATCAAACTGCAACTGGGGCACATGACATGGCACGACTGTCGTTGACCAACCATTTGCTCGCCGCCAGTTCAGCCGTTGGTTGCTGTTGAGTGTGCCCTGGCGAGTCGAATGCGCCGAGTCGGGGGTGAAAATTCTCGATGGTTTCATTGTTAATGTCAACCCCGGATGAGACTAAACCATGGTTTATTAATTAGGGGGGTACTCCTCCAATAGTCATAATCTAGTACTTAAATGGTACCCTCCCAATTAACCAGCCGCAAACGGGGTTCATAAATCCAGGGTTGACATTAACCCCATTGAATGCCACCTCCCATCAAACCCCACGAAATCCGAGAGATCCCATGGAAAACCATCAATGAAACCCGTTATCAAAGCCACGAAATCCCAGTAAATCTCACTGAATCTCAGTAAATCTTGTTGAATCCCATTGAATCCCATTATGCCCCATTGAAATTCTGAACTTGTTTTGTTGATGATTTATTCCCGCCGCGGAGGTGGTCATCAGCCATCCCCTCCGAGTGATAAATACGCTGCAAAACGAATTTCCCACGAAAGCATTGTGGCATGAATCTAATTCATTTGATTATTCGATATGAATTCGAGTACCCCAAAGTGGTGGGCTAAAAGGCTACTTCATATGGGGATCATATTATACCATATTATACCAATGTCTAGTGATAGTGGGACACCCCGTTGAATTCCTATAACTGCTGGGTGAAGCTGGTAAGTATCCATTAAAACCCAATTTCCAGTACAGAAATTGGAATGGGATGGGAGTAAATATCACTATATAACATTATATAACTCTATTCCACCCAACGAAATTACAATAGATCCTACTATTCATCACAGTTCATCCCATGACATTCCACTATTCATGCCATTAATTCATGAAACCCCATGAAATCCCATGACAAATCATACCAAATCCCATTTCATCCCGTGAAAATCCATGAAATCCCACTAGATCAAATGAAATCCCATGACAAATCATACCAAATCCCATTTCATCCCGTGAAAATCCATGAAATCCCACTAGATCAAATGAAATCCCATGACAAACCATACCAAATCCCATTTCATCCCGTGAAAATCCATGAAATCCCACTAGATCAAATGAAATCCCATGACAAATCATACCAAATCCCATTTCATCCCGTGAAAATCCATGAAACCCCACTAGATCAAATGAAATCCCATGACAAATCATACCAAATCCCATTTCATCCCGTGAAAATCCATGAAATCCCACTAGATCAAATGAAATCCCATGACAAATCATGCCAAATCCCATTTCATCCCGTGAAAATCCATGAAATCCCACTAGATCAAATGAAATCCCATGACAAATCATACCAAATCCCATTTCATCCCGTGAAAATCCATGAAATCCCACTAGATCAAATGCAATCCCATGACAAATCATACCAAATCCCATTTCATCCCGTGAAAATCCATGAAATCCCACTAGATCAAATGAAATCCCATGACAAATCATGCCAAATCCCATTTCATCCCGTGAAAATCCATGAAATCCCACTAGATCAAATGAAATCCCATGACAAATCATGCCAAATCCCATTTCATCCCGTGAAAATCCATGAAATCCCACTAGATCAAATGAAATCCCATGACATACCAAATCCCATTTCATCCCGTGAAAATCCATGAAATCCCACTAGATCAAATGAAATCCCATGACAAATCATACCAAATCCCATTTCATCCCGTGAAAATCCATGAAATCCCACTAGATCAAATGAAATCCCATGACAAATCATACCAAATCCCATTTCACCCCGTGAAAATCCATGAAATCCCACTAGATCAAATGAAATCCCATGAAATAGAACTATTTGAATCCAACGAATTTCTAAGATATCCCATCCTGGGCATTCCATGAAACTCCCAGGCTTCCTTCGCAGCTTATGGCGTGGCAACCATCCAACAGCCTAGGGGCAGCAAGACAGCCCCAAAGGTTGATCATAGAGTAGAATGTGAGGCCCCCAAGATAGCTACCCTCTGGTAATTTAACAGTTTGCTATTGAACATGGCCATTTATAGTGAGTTTTCCCATTAAAAATGGTGATTTTCCATAGTTATGTATGTTAGTTTACCAGAGGGTAAGTTGGTGAACATAACTCCAATAACTATGATTTATGGTACTTGTAACTATAGTTAATGGGGTTTATAAATCAATTTATGACTAGGGGGCCCCATCATATTTATGTACCATCATATTTTGGGTCTTATCAATGGCCATGTCAGGAACTGATACATTGGAGGTACCTATCATCTATTTTTGGCCTAGTTGAAGGCCTATGTAAGGGGATATCCCCACAAAATATGGTCTTATATGGTACAGTACCTCCATTTTAGGATCCTGAAATTCCCATTGATTTTATTTGACTTTAGTCATCCAAATTTTGGGAATGACATATGAATTCATTGATCAATGATGGTTGATGATTATAGTCGCTTAATAGGGCCCTTTAACCATCAAAATATGCGGATAGAAGTGATATAATTGACAAACGATGGGTGATACTCCATGGGAAATCCTGTTGCCCAACCAGTACAAAGGGACAACAAAGGGTTTTGAACACTGTTCAAATGATTCACAATGGCTGTTACGGTCTTAGATTATGCATGAACAAACAGATAAATTTATTAAATTTGTGCCGTAACGATCTTTGTTAAATGGCTTATCCCAATTTGCGCCTTTGGGGCACTCTCCACATGTTCATTGCTTCGGTGACGTGCCAATAAAATTCAGGATTGCAACACAACACAGCTGGTTGATGTTTTTTCCATGATGGTCCCAATCTTAGTGTTGCTTAGCAGGGAATGAGGGAATGATCCATAATCACTAGATATCACTAGTAATAATCATCCCAGCAACCTCCATTTCCAACCATTCCCTACTAAGCACCAGTAGGACCGTGAAGGTCTTTCAACCGACCGAGGGTTGCTTTCTGGTACTTTTCCGTGCGACGCTGCCAAAGCAAGAATCAAGAGAATCAAGCGCAAGCGGCTTGGAATCTTTCGAGTGACCGGTTTCGTTTCGTCGGGAAACCAAAAATACCTGGAATGATGCTTCGGCGTCGGGGATTTATCATTTTTTTATCATGATTTATCATGAATTGTCATGATTTATCATGAATTATTATGATTTATCATGAATTATCATGATTTATTGTGAATTATCGTGAATTATCCCAACAAAAAGCCGAACTCTTCGGGTTTCGTGAGCCATTTGTTCATTGACCCATAAAACTACACGTCCTTGCCATGTGTGACATCGCTGCCAGAAGGTTTTCAGTGCCTCCTCCGGTGTCTCACAGTGGTAGATGTCCCAGGAGTCACAGGTTAGTTCGGGGATTGCCCAACCAGCTGGGGCTCCAGTTCATCCACACTATATCTGATCTTTTCGGGTCCAAAAAATCCACTAAAATCCCCAGAATTTGATGGTTAAGCTGGGTTGAACTCTAATTTCTTCATGGGTAAACTAGCTTCAACTCTCATTCCAAATGATGTTGAAACTAGGTTAAACAATGAAACTCTGATTTTTTTATGATTAGACTAGTAGTGAAACTCTGATTTCTTCCTGGGAAATTCTGTAAAGGTCGAAGTCTTTCAAATTGCTGAGTTACCCTCTGGCAAACGTTTACATAACTATGGAAAATCACCATGCTATTAATGGGAAAATCCACTATTTCTATGGCCATTTTCAATAGCTATTTGTATATGTTTACCAGGCCGGGTAAGTTGAACTGGTTTCGGGGCTTCGTTGACCCATCCTGGTTCGATCTCCGAGGATTTCACCATTCTGGTTCTAACGGAGGCCGGGAGCTCGGCGTTGGCGTGGCGTTGTCGGTTCGATGTCCTGGAAGTTGAGGGGATCAATGGGATTTAATGGTGGTTTATGGTGGTTTAATGGTGGTTTAATGGTGGTTTAATGGTGGTTTAATGGTGGTTTAATGGTGGTTTAATGGTGGTTTCATGGGATTTCATGGGATTTCATGGGATTTAGCCTCTGGTAAACACGCAAAAAAGCGAAGTGGAATTCATCAACGATTCTCCATTTCTTTTAATTTTTGTTTCTCAATTACCCTTCTGGTCATGTGACATGGCGCCTCCATTTGGTCCGATTTTTGTGGACGTTGGTGGCGCCTTCATTTGAGCAGTGGCTGCTAAACCCCTGTTGGTTGATGATTCGTTGGGGGATAAAAAAAATACCCTTCACATATATATATAATTATATATATATATATATATATTGGTGATTCTGAAATTGCTATTTCATAATCACCCACTAGCCACTATAGCCTTCATTAATATTGGTGATGATTTTATCATACGGGGAATCCCGTTCTGATTCATACTCGATCTGAGGCTCTCGGGATGGATCTCACCCATAGGGAGTAGCCGCTAGGGTAATTACCTAAAATGGAGTTTTCCTAAAATGATAGATCCCCAAATCATCCAAAATTTACCTGGTAAACGTTAACAACCATAACTACGGAAAATCACCATGCTATTAATGGGAAAATTCACTATACATGTTGATTTTCCATAGTTTTTTGTAGGTTTATCAGGCCGGGTACCCGGCCTGGGAAACATGGCCAAAAAGCGATGCTATGCAAAATGGCCATAGAAAGTTCAGATGATTTACCACGCAAAATTGCATGGTGATTTTCCATAATAATGTGGTTAAATCAATGTGGAAAATAGTTATCACTAATGTTAAATAATTTAGTTTAAGCATCATTGTGATAATGTTAACCACATGTTAGTTTATCACTAATGTGGTTAAAACAATGTCATAAACTACCCGTGACTGGGAATGGTAAACCTAGCACCTATGTATTTATGGTGATGACTGGGGGATGGTGCAAATGACATTGTTGTAACCACATTACTCGATTTGCCTACGCAAGCAGATAGATTCATGCGCGGGCATGTGTGTTTCTGTGTTCACATGTCAAAATCCTAGCTTGACTAATTTTTTCGAAAAAAAAAACATCAGTTTTCATCCTAACTTGACGAGTCTTTGACTCAAAATCCCAACTGGATTCAAAATCCAACAAACCGACCAGAGAGAATCCTAACTTGATCTTGCCTTTTTGTTCCACTGAAAACAGCTTTTCCCATCACAAAACCTCAGCATTTCACGTTTCGCTAGGCGCTTCTGGCGACGCACTATGGAGTGATCTACCTATTGGCCGTCTTCGGTTGTATATCTTGGCAATATGTTGCTTGGCACATGGCACATGGATGTGTTGCAAGGGGCTGATGATTGGCTTGTCACTTCTGGGATTTTTAGCATGTTTAACCATGAGCATATGGGGGATACAAGGGATAAAACATGATAAAACTGATAAATGATGGTTGTTTGATGTTGATTGATGATTAATTTGGGGATGACACATTAGCCAATATCAATCAGGGATTATCCCGAAATCAGCGGGAAACCCCGTTACCAGCCGGGTGAGTTCGCCCTTGGTTGAGGAAAGAGGGCTCTCTCGTCACACTCATTAGATACATGATTAAAAGAACACTGATAATCAAACACATTGTGATCATTCACCCACTTACCACAAAAATGATGATGAATGATCAGCTGGTTGGTGGTTTGGAACATTTCTTATTTTTCCCATCATATTGGGAATGTCATCATCCCAACTGACTTTCATATTTTTCAGAGGGGTGGCTCAACCACCAACCAGTCAATGTTTTTGAGAATGGGTGATCATTGAGTGGTCTATTTGGTTCTCCACTTTCTGCAATTTTGGACCCATTCAGCGGCACATGGACGTCCTTCAACCTTTCAAAACCTTTCTGGTTCGGTCGGTGATTCGGTTATAGGCTACGAATCTGGGATTTTGCAGGCATCATTGCATCATTGACAGAGGGTATATACGAACCAAAACAAAAAGAAACTTATTTGGGGCAATGACAATATCATTGTAGTCCGCTTGATATAGGTATTCACGGAAAAATTGAATGAGGATCAACCGCTATCGACTCAGATTGGGCGCAATAACTTCAATTGGTTGATGATTAGTTTGGGTGTTTTGCTAGCCTTCACATCTTGGGGATTTCCTATTTCCGGTTTTTCACATTGCTTCTTGTTGTTGTTGGATTGTTGTTGTTGGATGTTGTAAATTTCTGGATCTGTTCCGGAAAAAAGGCATAAAAAGGCCAATGTTTGGCCGTCAGGACATTTTTTTCATTTGGGTTAGATGTTTTTTTTGTTTTTCTGGATATCTTCCGGTGAGATGTTTTCGTCAGGAACATATCAAATTCTGGAGATGTTCCGAAACAATTGCCAATGTTTTCATCAGGAACAGCTTGCCTATACTTATTCTGACATCTTTGCGAAGCTCTTCCATTCCATCTACTTGGTCTCCTCCCGCCGGAGACGAAATCTTCTCTTGCTCGAACAACTCCGTGGCGTGGCTAGTGAGCGGCTAGCGGTAGCCCGGTAGCCGTGGAGAAATCCAAATCGCTTTGAGTTGGGTCATTTATGGGGGGTTTCATGGTTTCCATAGTCAGGGGGATACCCTAAAATGCATGATTTATCTGGGAAAATCATGGAAAATCCATCTATAAATGTTATAAATGGATGAGGACTGGGGGTAACCCCCCATGGATTGGAAACCTCCAAATAGAGGGAAGATGAGATGGAAGATTATCAAACCTAAGGACTTTTGATGCGGTGAAGCGGCTCAAAGGAACCCATGCCATAAATATATAAAGACTCTGGTGATAGCTTGCCTCACTGGATTGGTTTTGTTGGGACAATTTTAACCGGAAACCATAGTTTTTACCATCAAATATAGGGCTTTCCTGTGAATTGTCCCATAATCCAATTCTATGATTGCCATTTTTGTTAAACCAGCCATGTCTCATCATCAAAGTTTTCTGTCTTATTACATACTAGAAGATGGCCATGGCGCCGGTTTTCATTGTCTCAGTTTAACATGTTCAATAGATCAATTACCCTTTGGTTATTTAACATAGCCATGGAAAATGGTCCATTTATAGATGGTTTACCTATTAAAAATGGTGATTGTCCATGGCTATGTTAAATAACCAGATGGTATATATTCCTGGAATCCTATTCTTGATTCTCCCATTAAAAACATTACAAATCAGTCTGGGTTTTCCCTGTGATTGTTTTAACCTTTTATTTCATTCATGCATGGCTTGATGGTTATAATCATAACCATTCCTATTTGTCAATGGGAATTTCAGGATCCTAAAATGGAGGTACCTACCATATATAAGGCCTAGTTGAAGGCCTATGTAAGTGAATATCCCCACAAAATATGGCCAAACATATGGTACGGTACTAACGTACCTCCATGTATTGGATCCTGCTGGTTTGGAACCATGGATTTTTTTTGACTTTCCCATCATATTGGGAATGGCATCATCCCAACTGACGAACTCCATCATTTTTCAGAGGGGTGGCCAAAAACCACCAACCAGATCATACTTTTGTAATTACCCTCTGGTAAACCTACAAAAAACTATGGAAAATCACCATTTCCAATGGGTAAATCCACTATAAATCACCATTTTCAATAGCTATTTGTATGTTTACCAGAGGGTACCAAGTTTTGGGCCATATTTTATGGGATTCCCATGGGTACCAACCAGATCATAACCATCCCCATTTGACTTGTGCACCACCTCAGAAGCTGCAGCTTAGGCGCTGGGTCGCAGCTCGCGGCATCGGATTTGCAACGGATGATCTCCTTTGCAAATGCGACTCAGTCGTAAAAACAAGGGGAAATCTGGATCAAACACCTATGAAAAACGTGGAATATGGATCAATATGGCTGGTATAGCTGGGAAAATCATCTAAATCAATGGGAGATCTCCAGGATCCTAAAATGAAGGTACGTTAAAAATACCATATGTTTTTGGCCATATGAATTAGAATTGTTGGGATACACTGAAATTTAGGCATTCAACTAGGCCAAGAATAGATGGTAGATACCTCCAATAAATCGGTTTCTGAGATGGCCAGTGATCAGTTGTAAAAAAGGGTCCCATCCTGATAGCCATGGATGAACCTCTCCAAGTTCAGGCAGTAGATGGCCTGTTGATCCTATTTCATGTGGGTAAAACAATGTCATAAACTAGCCATGACTGGGAATGGTTTATGCCACCTATATATTGTCATTTTGGGGATGGTTTATGATTGTTTCACCCACATGAGTGATTTTCCAGAACTATGGTGTAGATGGCCTAATCAATAGCTGGATTTTGCTCTTAGAATGGTGATTTTCCATAGCCATTTTGGGTTACCAGAGGACAACCCTCAAGAATATTGGTGGGATACATACCGGAGATATATGATGTGAAGTCACATCTGGTGATTTTACTAACAAAAATCGAGGTATATACAGATGGGATATATGATGACAAATGGCTGTATATATATATATATGATATGAATGGACCATTTATAGATGATTTTCTCATCAAGGATGATTGATTAGTGGTTAATGCTGGGTTTTAAATTTATTTGACCATTAACCACGAACTAAACAACGGGTTTAACATGGTTTAACCACCAAAACATGGGTTTCAACTGCAAATGAAGGTGTGTAGCTCAGCAAACCATGACCTATGGAGATATAAGTCACCAAAAATCAAACGCCGCCGCGAAATCGGGAAATTCTCTACATTGCAAATAGAGGTTTATAGCCACTTACAGCTGAGAAAACATCTGAAAAAACTGGGGGAATTGTCCAGTAAGCCTTGGAGTTGAGTCCCTGAGGGTAAGTTGGCTTACTTACCCTCTGGTAATTTAACATAGCTATTGAAATTGACCATAGAAATAGTGGATTTACCCATTGAAAATGGTGGATCTTTCCATAGTTTTTTGTAGGTTTACCAGAGGGTACCCCATCTAACTGTGTTTTTTTTGGTGACCATCACCTCAGGGTAACTTTAGTTAAATAGCCACTTCAGGTACCGATTTATTGGAGGTACCTACCATAAGGCCTTAATTTCAGGGGATATACACGCAAAATATGGCCAAACATATGGTACTAATGTACCTCCATTTTAGGATCCTGGAATTCTCATTGAGTTAATGATGATTAAGGCTGATTGATGATTGATTGATGACTAATGGGACTATCTATTATGATTAATGATGATTAATGAACCGGGGCAGCACCTGGTTTTTTTTTTGCATCGGATGAATCCAGGAAAATCCAAAAATCAATCGCGATCAGACATGGCGACATGGCCAAGCGTTCAACAACAACTGGGATCTAAGGAAGGATGAGGAGCAGGCACCCTCTGGTAAACATACAAAAAACTATGGAAAATCACCATTTTTAATAGGTAAATCAACTATAGATGGGCCATTTTCAATAGCTATGTTAAATTACCAGAGGGTAAATATCAACATATATCAACATCAACTGTCAACTGCTGCTGGAAAATTCGTTCCGAACTCACCTTGGTTAATGACTAGTAACCTTGGGTTAGTTCCTAACATCTAGTATTTAACCATGGTTGTGAAGCACTTAAACCCGCATCTCTCGTTTCAATCTATGCGCCTTCCGAAACTTCCGAATTTCGAGGTACCGATTTTCTGCGTCAACAAGGAGTTGCGCATTGAGGAGTGGAATCAGAAGATTGAACAGCTCACAGGCAGCCCGGGACCACGGGATGATGATGGGATGATGGATCCTGGCACGGCACGAGAGACATGGAGAGAGGTTCTGCGACGCTGGGAGAAAAATATTTTTATGAGGTGCTGTATTTATAAAGACATTACATGACTTATATAGATCCAGATGTATATAACTTGTCTGATAAAAATTATCGCCTCTTGGGGTAGATGTTTCAATCAGAAATTCACATTGAAATCCTCCACGCCTGGCAGGCGTTAGTAAAGCTGATGCTTTGAACCGTTTTCTGCCCGTATCTTCGTCGAGCTTGGTGAAATGGGTTACGGGAATCGCAGGATCCTATGGAGCTACGATGTACCCTCTGGTAAACATACAAAAAACTATGGAAAATCACTATTTTTAATGGGTAAATCCACTATGAATGGCAATTTTCAATAGCTATGTTAGTTTACCAGAGGGTACCAAGTTTTGGGCCATATTTTGTGGGATTCCCATGGGTTGAAATGTAGCCCAAGGGGGGCCTTGTTGGAGGGTCAGGAGTTGGAGGTGAAGTAACGCCTGGAAACTTCCCATGGAAAAAAAAACATGGGAGGCTGTATCGGAAGATCATCGAACAGAACATGGGAGATCTTCAGGATCAAATCCCTATTAAAAATATGGCATGCTATTGGTTTAGAGCTGGGAAATTCATCTAAATCAATGGGAGATCTCCAGGATCCGATTTAATGGAGGTACGTAAACGTACCGGACCATATTTTTGGCCATATTTTGTGGGTATATTCCCTTCAGCTAGGCCTTACATGGTAGGTATCTCCAACAAATCGGTTCCTAAAATGGCCATTGAGAACATGGAAGATTTATGACGATTTTCCATTGCTATGTTTGAGTTCCGCAGGGTACTTGGATTAAAAAATTGATTTTATGGATCCGTCTGAAGGGGATACTTGCTATTTTCCTCTTGGTTAGTACATGATTTGGGGAATCCCTGGTTTGGTTTTCATTTTCGGACCATTTGAAGCAAATATCGTACTAGGAGATGGTCATCAATCCATTTTCATATGGATTTATGTCCCCATGATAAGGAATGCCTGATAATTCTGTGATGAGCATCAACCGCAAACCATGTTTTCACCATGACGCAGCATGACGCATGGGATTTTATAACCCCCGCAAGTTAAGATATAACCGCTACATAACCATGTTTATCTATAGTTATATCGCCTATTTGTGGAACTGCACTGTGGTGGTCACCAGAGTTCTCGAAATCGTCACGCCAGGGTGTTGGAAATTGGCAGCGGATGGCTGTTGTTACTTAAGATGAAATCCGCAAACGCTTGAAACGCTTGAGACTGTAATGGAGGTTTCCCAAAATGGGTTTTCCCCAAAATCATCCAAACTTTCATAGGGTTTTTTTTCCATGTTTTTCCATTTTTTGAACCATCCAGCGAGCCCGCCTTTTTGTTCGAGTGCGGGTATCCCCATTTATGGAACCCATCTCTACTTGGTGGCTCATACCACTTAGTAAGTGGGTTATAACCCCAGTTATTAGTGGATTAAGTGTACTTATCCCATTTGTAACTGGGGTTATAACCCACTTACGATTCGTGGTATGAGCCACCAAGTATCCCAAAAGCTTCCGACGTTTGAGGAGTTCTACTCAAAACAATCAACGAACTGGTGGAATGATGCCGGGCGCTTGCTGCAAGATACCTTGGCCGGCCAAAACTCCGGCGTGGTGGAGCGCCATGCTGGCAGTTGTTGGAGAAGTTGGGGGAGGATGGACAGGATAACTATGGCCAATTATGGCTGGTTGGTGGTTTGGAACATTTAGTATGGGGTAATGATGGTTAATGATGGTTAATAATGGTTAATAATGGTTGATAATGGTTAATAATCACTGGTTGGTGGTTTGGAACATGATTTTTCTGACTTTCCATATATTGGGAATGTCATCATCCCAACTGACTTTCATATTTTTCAGAGGGGTTCAAACCACCAACCAGATGGTTTATGGTAGATATGTCTATATTTACCCACAGGACCAGGAAGAGGGTATAAACATCAACCCATTGGAAACCCCCCTGGCCCCATGGAACAATTAACCATATTTCCACTAGGGTTTCATTTAGGGTTTATATGAGTTATACGTTATACCACATGAACACTCCAGACTCGCCAAAAAAATGAAAAACGGGAAAAGGCCGACACGCATGAAGTCCGCAGAGGGTTCACTTTTCCGACAGATTTTTCCAAAAAATTGACGTTGAACATAGTAACCCAAAGATGTACCAAAGCCATAAAAAGACGGGCCTGCGCAGTGAAATGAGCCTCCTTAAGACGTCACTCATTCCGTTCCGGGCAAACCCTCAGTCCTGCCCGTATATTTACTGGGGTTTATGAGCCAGCTGATGACTGGGGGGGCTGTTTCCTTGTTGTGGAAACAGCATGAAATACCCAAATGTCATCGTATGTCTTCGTCAACTTATATCCGGGGAACCGAACGCAATTGCGTTGTGTCATTGCTCGGTTCTGGTGTTAATTTGTTCCTGTCATTCCTTTGTTTTTTTCCCTTGCTTTTTGTTGTGCATTGATTGTTGTTGGTTGTATTATGTTGTATTATGAGTTTGCTTGCCCAACCGTTGCATGCAACCATCGTTGTGTCACTTTCCCCGCCAAGTATTTGACATATTCATCTCTTGTTTCGCAGGGCGGTTGCTCAAGGTTTTTGGTTCATGTGATTATGTTTGCGGTGATGTCCGTACTCTTGCTCATGTTATGTCCCTGACTGCTGGTACACTTCAATCCCGATATATCCGGATCCTTCAAGATTGCCCGCGCTTTCACACTTCTCAAATCCTCCTTGGAAACAGCAAACTATAGACATCTATAGACTTATAGATGATTGATTGCCTGGGTAGGAAACATCGAAAACGGATCATTTTCCACTGCCGGTACGCTTTTTGAAAACCAGAGGATGATCGTTTTTGAGGGCCGTTGGGAGGCCATTCACTGCCGAAAGAAGGCTTGACAGATGGAGAGAGATCATCGAAGATCAGAGTGGCATGTTTCGAAAAAGGGAACATCAACGTCCAAAAACCATGCGTTGGCGTTAACCACGTTTTTTCTGGTTTATGCAAAGTTGTCTTTTACATTGTATTATGCCGATGACCTGGTTGGCCAAAAACCATTCGCAGCTTACATGCCAATTTTGCTAGGTACTCTTTTTTTCACCCGCCTTAAAAAAACAGTTATTTGATCATCTTAAAGTCCATAAATCAATCATGTCGTTTTATTAATTTTATCAGCTACAGGATGGGGCCCCCAAGATAGCTAAGTTGGTTTATAAACCATTATAATCACCATTAACTAGTTCGTTATATCTACCATAAACCATAGTTTTTTCAGCCACAAAAATAAACCAACGGTTCACGCTATCGACTGGGTACAATGTGAGGCCCCCAAGATAGCTAAGTTGGTGAACATAACTCCAATAACTCTGGTTTATGGTATTCATAACTATAGTTACTAGGGCTTATAAACCAACTTATATCTTGGGGGCCCCATCACTTGTGAATCTCCAAAGATTCCGTCGGTGTCCCAAGGATGCAATTCACCTCCAGTGGGAGGTCTGCGGCCATGGTGGCCGTAAGCGCCACATGTCAACGGACGGCCAAGGGCGATATCAAGGGGGCAGTGTGTCGCTTGGCTCGCTTGGCGCGGATAGGACGGGTGGATAGGATAGGTGGATAGGATAGGATGGTGATATTTTCCTGGTTATTATTTTGATCCATTGTATCAATGGCCATTTGAGGATCCGATTGATTGGAGGTACCTACCATATATAAGGCCTATTTTTCAGGCCTATGTAAGGGAATATTCCCAGAAAATATGGCCAAACATATGGTACAGTACCTCCATTTTAGAATCCTGGAATTCCCATTGTAATGATGAATGATATGATTTATATTTTATATTATCAAAAACATTGTTATTATACTCATATTTGATGATGGTGATATATTATTTTTGGTTCTACAATGGTTCTAAGATTGTTATTATAATGATTATTATGATGGTTATTATTAAGTATGGTTATTATGATATTCCCATTTTGGTGATGGTGATACTCTGGTTCTATGATTTTTATGATTGTTGCGGTTATATTATGTTATATTATGTTATTTTGATTGTGATATTATTATGGTTCTGTGTTTTTTTTTTATGATTGTGATTTTGATGGTTCGGTTATTATGATGGTTGAATACTATGGTTATTATGATGACCTATGGGTATGATGGTTATACTACATGATGTGCCATACCCGGCAAAAATACGGTTATTATATGATGGTGATATACTATATGGTTATGATTGTGGATGCGCTGGAATTGTGGAATGATATGGATTCCGTGCAATTGTTGCTATAATGGTGTATTCATGGTATCCATGAATATGGTCATTATATGGTTGTATAATTCTATACTATTAGTGGTTATATATGGATTTGGGAATGAATAGATTTCCCGCAGTTGTTGTTTCTTGCATCCACATGAAAATGGTTTGATATACCGTTAGTGTGATATCCTTCGAGAGTCCTCTCCATAGTATCCCACATTCCAATATATAGAATGGGGTTTAATGGATATTCATGGAATATGAGTAGAAATACCCTCTGGTAAACTTACAAAAAACTATGGAAAATCGCCATGCTATTAATGGGTAAATCAACTATAAATGGCCATGTTCAATAGCTATGTTTGTTTACCAGAGGGTATATGAGTATAATGTGGGATACAGTGGGGCATTGTCTAGATAAATTTAATCACGACCTCACGTCGCGACCTCACCGGCATCATGTTTTTTTTCTTTTTCGCGTAATCATCCTCAGTGTGGGCCGCAAGATTTAGGTTAGTGAAATCATGTCATATTATGTTACCATCTGGTTATTTAATATAGCCATGGAAAATCACCATGTTTAAGAACGGTAAACCTCTATAAATGGGTCATCTATACCATGGCTATGTAACAAATAACCAGAGGGATCAGAGGGTATATTGTAATTTATCCATAAAAATCAGTGGTTCTGGTTGAAAACTGGCTGTTTCCTAAGTCATGCGGGGTAGCGCTAGGGCCTTAGTGTGAAGCCTTGGCGACCGGAGACCCCCCATGCCTTATCAGAAACCTCGGTGATGGTAAAACTCAGAGGAAAAACATGGAAAACCATAGAAGACCCTAGAAAGATACGGGAAAACCATGGAAGAATATGGAAGAATATGGCAAAAGAGGGTGTCGCTAGGTTTTTTGGCGGTTTTTAGGTTCTGCTGATGGTGTAGAAATCCCTATGGTAAATATATGTTTGGGTCAAAGAAGCATTGGACCATGACGGGATTGAACTGAAACATATGAAGTAAGAGGGCGGGCCTCGTACTTCGCCCAAGGAACCGAACAAATGATAAAAATGATAGGTCTTTTGTGATAGGAATGTAGATATGGTGTTTATTTGTGGTGTATAAATATATATGTATATATATATACCGTTATACCGTTTATACTCAACTTAATTCCGGTGGCAAACATATATGTCATAAAGAAATGGCATTCGTATGGATTTGTTGACTGGGAAAAACATCGGGAAACCAATGAGTACTTTGTAAATAGCTGGGAGGTTCCTCGTGGGTGGTTTAAAAATAAGTTGGGATTTGATCAGTAAAAGTGGTGATTCAGCTGAAACATATGAAGAGATGTGAAGTATATGAGGACGCGATCTGTTTGTTTTTTTATGGAGTTTCTACCAGCTTTTGCGCAGGTTAAACAGATTGAGCATGGTGATAACTGAGATAATCTTAGGACATTTCAATGGATTCAATGGTTTGATTAAGAGGAAACTCAGCAGGATTTGAACCAGCAGAATGCTGGAGGTAAATACTTTGGTTTTCTCCAAGTCCCCAATTCCAGGGTTGGATGGTGATTTTTCAAAAAACCACCAGATACGCCCCTGACATTCCAAGCGTAACCCCCGAAGTGACAATGTCCATCATGTTCCGATGGAAATGAAACACATTTCCGACCGTGTATTTTTGAAGATGTCCCTTTCCCACTGCTTAAGTCACAGGCCATTTGAGATCAATTGGGGAGTCACCTCCATCAAACAGTATGTGAATGATGATCATAATCATAAATGACATAAGGCATACCAAGCCGACCAGTCGTGCAGCAACAACATGCAACAACGTATGTTTTTCTATTCCAGACAACCCATATCTTCACAGACTTGCAGGAAAGATATGCAGCATGCATGAACCCTGATCAAGTTGGGGGTACCTCGGGCAATTTAACATGGCTATGGAACATGGCCTGTTTACATCTAGATGATTTACTTATTTAGAATGGTGATTTTCAATAGCTATATGGCTATATCTAATTTCCAGAGGGTAACACCCATGGTTTTGGATGATGATTTTCCCCTAAACCAATCCATTGAACTTCATTAATCTTTTGGTATGCCCATGGTTGGTATAAGTCTCATAATTTCCACACTTCATTGAATTCCCCCAGCCAAAAAAAAAACACTTAATTGAATTAATTGAATTTCCATTCATGGTTGAATGCCCATGTTGATGAATTTCCCAACCCAAAAAAAAACATTGGACAGCGCAGACAGCTGACTCTGGCAAGAGATGGCAAGCTTGCCATAGCGAGGTATCGGGCAAGATGTGACCGAGTTGACCACCGAATCTTGACCGGGCAATGTTTCAATGGGAGATATCCACAATGTGAGGCCCCCGTTCGATAGCGTTCAGTTGGTGAACATAACTCCAATAACTATGGTTTATGGTACTTATAACTTTAGTTACTGGGGCTTATAAACCAACAGACATCACTGGGGGGGGGCCGCATTGCAGGATCCTAAAATGGAGGTACGTAAACGTACCGGACCATATGTTTGGCCATATGAATTGTGGGGATATTCCTCCAATCAGATCTGGGGATCCTTAGGCTTCGTTCTCCCGAAGCCTGGTTTTATCAAGGCTAACAAGGGAAAACCAGCGCTGATTGTGGGCCAAAAAAAAAACAGCTTAGTGAAATAATGTTATATTATGTTATTTTACCCAGATTGTTATGTGAAATGTTAATCATGTTATACTTACTTATATCTTATTGTGAAATATTATAATTTACCAAGATCAGATGGTAAAGCCAGCTAGTCCCAAAAATCAGCAGCCAACTAATATTGGTATAGCATTCAAGAATGCAATTGGATTATGGTCAGTGAAGATCCATTGACTATAGATGTAGTGTGATGTACCCGCTGGTAAACTAACATAGCTATGGAAAACCACCATTATTAATGGGAAAACTCACTATAAGTTGCCATTTTCAATAGCTATGTTAAATTACCAGAGGGTAGTTACTGACTCATGTTAGTAAAGCATACTTCTATAGTTGGTATATTTTATAGTTGGTGAACATCCATTAACTGTAGTAACTATAGATATGATTAGATATCTCTAAACTGTCTAAGCCCATATATCTAAGATCCATTTAACAAGAATGTTAGTAGAGCAATGTCCTAAACGCCCGTTAATGTTGATGGTGTGTACCGTGAAAATGCTACAACTGGGGGATGGTTTATTGCTTTACTACCATGAATATCAACATCCGTAATCTTGGGCGTCATTGTTATGAAACATGTCGTGTAATCTTGGGATGGTTTATAAAATGTGCTTTGCCACATGAGTTAAAGTTCAAATCCATCACTCGAAGGTTATTAATTGTTGGAAATTGAGCGTATGTTTCTACATGTTTCAAGTCAAATCATTTAGCCCGCATTTAGCCAGAACCACCTACGGTGCATTTAGCAGTGATTCTAGGGCTGGATACATGATGAATCAAGCACTTGAGGCTCAGTCATAGTCGGATACCACCTGCAGTCGTGGGGAAACATCATGCTCAGAGTGAAAACGCTTATCGTCGTAAACCACCAATTTACTGATAGGGGGATGCCAATTCTGCTAGTATTTTAAAGGACTAGTGTTGGGGTAACCTCCCGTTTTTTGTTTTTAATCCAGGGTTGAAATTGATACTGAAAAAATCTCAGGTTATATATGATGATGTGATGTCAATGGAAATATCAGAATAAACCACCCAAATAAAGGTGCTTTTAATTATGTAATCGGCGACCAGTGCAGGCAGGGGAAGGTGTCTCCGTTTTGTGGACGTTGATGTAACCATGTGTGAGAAACCATAAGTTAGAGTCTCAATTTAACTGCGTATGGTTCCAATCATATCCGATCATGCTAGTAAAGCAATAGTCATAAATAGATGGTATAAACCATCAAAATATGGGCGGTTTAGGACATTGCTGTACTAACAGTAATCTCATGTAAATCATATGGAGGGTTCCCCAAAATAGGGGTGCCCCCAAATCATCCATTTTGATGGGTTTTTCCATTATAAACCCTCCCCCATTTATGGAACCCCCCATGTATTCAATATAATCACCTGCGACTTCCACCGACAACCTGCTGGCGCTTTCCAAAAGTGGTTCCAGGAAAAGATGCGTGCGGAAAATCTGGCCGAACGCCTGGAAAGATCCATGGCGCGAGGTTTTCACAGTCGGGGGTACCCCTCTGGCATCATCTAAGTGGTGGATGAGCATGACTTACATCCATTAATGGTGGTTCATATCCATTAAGAATGGTTGATAATGGTTGAGAATGGGATGAATATGACTTAATTCGCCTCTGGTAATTTCTGGCATAGCTTAGCTATTGAAAATGGCACATAGTTGAATATACCATCTGGTTATTTAACATAGCCATGGAAAATCACCATTTTTAATAGGTAAATCATCTATTTCTATGGGCCATCTATACCATGGCTATGTAACAAATAACCAGAGGTTAGTTGATTTACCATTCAAGATGGTGATGTTCCATCGTTTTTTTTGGTTAAAAAAGAGGCTAGGTTCAGACTTAGAACTGAACGACACAGATCCCCATGGGAGGATCATTGTGGCGGTGCAGGGGGGACATCAAGGGGGCGATAGGTGCCATTTATGAAATTTATGGCACATCTGAAGGCAGATTTTGAGACATCCTTAAAAGACGCCTATGACTCTATGACCTCATGATCTCATGCCAAAATCAAGGGAAAAAAGATGAAAAAAGCTTCTCAATAGGTTCCTGAAATATCATGTAGAAATAATATGTAGAAACCACATCGATCAAGATAAATCATAGGTTCTCAGCACGCTGAGACTATAAGATGTAATGCTGCTTGTATTTTCATGTAATTTAGATCTTTTTAGATCTATACACCTCACATACTGATTTAGGAAGTGACAGCCAACAAACTCATCGATTAGACTTGTGCTGCAAGGGCATTTCCCAGCTTGGACAGGCTCCATGGAGCACAGTCCGCTGGTTGTTTGCCGATCGATCGTTCCATTCGCGTTTTCTTGGTGTAATGGAAAAATCCCGGGAAAACAGTTCTATTCTTTAAGGTCAACACAGAATTTTGCCACCCCCCCTAAACTAACCACTTTTGGGGAGGCCACCCGAATTCACCAACACAGTTTGTTCATCAAGTTGAAATATTGAGTATAGTAGATGTTTTTTTCCTCTCGATTAACCAACACACACACACAATCACATATATATATATGATATATATATATATACACTAGTCTATCTATGTTTATTGTTTATCTGGATGGTGGTTTGGAACATGTTTTACTTTTCCATATATTGGGAATAAATGTGGTATCCCCCTACAGGATGGGCCTCCCCAGTGATGTGAACGTTGGTTTATAAACCATTAGAATCACCATTAACTATAGTTATATCTACCATAAACCATTAACAATAACTATGTTTAAACCATTCACAATAGTTTAAACATGTTTAAACCATTAACAATATAGTTGGTGATATAACAATGGTTAATCACCATTAACTAGTTCGTTATATCTTCCATAAACCATTGTTAAGCCACAAAAACAAACCAACTGAACGCTATCTTTACTTCCCCATCCTGTCGAAGTGGGATGTTCATCATGACCTTCTGTAAATCGATCTTTATCGGTAAATGGGATGGTGAATTTATTCTTGGCTTTGGCCATAGTGTCAACCCCGGATGAATAAACCATGGTTTATATAATTTATATATTAAAAAAGGGGGCTACTCCCCAACTAGTCATAATCTGATACTTTTTTATGGTATCCCCCCAATTAGGCAGCCGTTTGGGGGTTATTAATACAGGGTTGACATTCACCATTAACCAATTACGCTTGGGTTTGCCTATCCCATAATTGTCTCATTTAACCATTAACCAACAATAATGATTGGGGTCATCATCCATCACATTAACAGACATTAGCATGTTAATCCCATCCATTCATATTAAACACCCCAATTTATGGTCAGATGTGGAAATTCCCTATGCCTTTCGCATTGTTTCGTTTGTTTGTAGGTGTTGAATTTGAATGGGTCAAGGGATTTTTAGTGTATATATTGTTTTTTTAGATAGAGTTTTATATCACAAAAAAACACACCGGAACTAGCATATGACCAAAAAAAAACACCATTCCCTCAACGGTTCTAAGTTCTAAGGTTTGATCCAGTCAGCCAATGCACCCATCTTTGAGCTTGACCTTGAGCTCAATGTGGTCAGATGGATGCTGAGCTCGGATTCCACCGGATTCCGCGGGATGTCTGGAGCTGTTGATCATGGGAACATGTTAAAAAAAAACATCGCCTCCAGTAATCTAAGAGTTTGCCAACTGGAAAATGGATCATTTAGTTTGATGATTTATACCTGAGCTATGATTTTTCATAGCTATTTAATTAGTTTGCCAATATCGGGTAAACCATGCTCAATTCTGCGTGATTTTGTGGTTTTGACAATATCGGGTGTACTGGTTTGACAATAGCAGTCTTTGCATTGATTCACCGTTGAAAAAAATCACGTTGTTTGATGCTATGTCTCCGTATAATTTCATCAAGTTGGATCTGTCATGTGTCTCCCTGCCAGGTGAGGATCTCTAGAATTCTCTACAATGTGGCCCCCCCAGTGATATTTGTTGGTTAACAAAAGTCCCAGTAACTATAGTTATAAGATGTTATTTGCGTACCATAAACCATAGTTATTGGAGTTATGTTCACCAACTGAACGCTATCGAACGGGGCCTCACATTGTAGATAACAAAGGTGCAACTCCTCCTCTTCCTGGACCCTCCAAATCAAAGGACCCGAACTCATGCCAGAATAAATTGATAAATGCCTGAAAGTATGTCAAAATGGATGCCAGATAGAATGTCAGAGCACATGCCACATATGTATATATATATATATATCTATTTATACGTATATACAGACATACATATATATAATACATGTGTATATAATATACATATGTATCTATGTATATATTAATAAACATACATACATACATACATACATACATACATACATACATACATACATACATACACTTCCAGATGATATGTCGGAATGGTGTGTCAGGGGTTCCAGATGGTTCCAGCACATCCCAGGAACAGCTGGCTGAAGGAGAGGTGCGGTATGTCCTTAGCCGAGCTGCAGGGAAAGCCCATTACCACCGTGTTGATCCAGCCCTCCAAGAAGGTCATAAAGGCCCGGGCCCAGGGGAGACAGAATCATCCCCAATTTGTTTATGTTTTTTTGGCCGCAAGTTTCAGGTGAGTGAAACATGATTTAAGATGATTCAATTATAATCTAGACAGTTAGATGGTTGTCACAGACATCGGCTTTTTAGGTGGACATCACTTTACTAGACCGATTTTTGATTTTTTTTGACATGTCGATGTTCCGATTTTTTGACATGTCGATGTTTATGACCATCTAACTATTGAACTACTGTACCCAAATTTTACCAACCGAGCTTACCTTTTGAAGGGGTTGAATCCTATGGTCGCGGTGGCTTGGCTGAGTTTTTTCTACCGTGAACTGCCCCAAAGCTAGGATTCATGAGGTGTTTGTGGGATCATTTTGGTCCATTTTGCATGGACTAGCACTGTGGCCTGCCATTTTTTCTAAACATGATAACTGGTTGGTGGTTTGGAACTCAAAATTTTCAGAGGGGTTAACGGTATACCACCAACCAGATAACCATTGATAACCAATTTTGGTTCCTTGGGAGTTTAAGAACTCAAAGGGTGATGGCTTCGAAATCTTCAGAGCTTGCAGTTCGGTTTCTTGTGTCAATGGATTGGTTTAAGGGAAAATTTACAGGAAAACATCATATTTACTAGGAAAATCAATGGTTTCCTGTAGATTTTCCCTTAAACCAATTCATTGAATGTGTTCTTGGGGGATCACTTCTTGGATTGGAACATGGCTTTCGAATCGAAAGCCATGGCCCCAACCTATGGCCCAAGCAGCATGGCTTTTTGGGTCAACGCCGGTCAACGTTTTTTTTTGCCTTTTGTTGAACTGAGCTTAACGGCTGCTCAGATCCAAAAACTCATCCAGTTCATGCAGTCTAGACAGCGGTCCAGGGTGTTCCTGCTTCATCAATCCTCAGTTATTAACGGTAGGTCAGTGTAGGTACTGTGTGTGAGACGATCAAAATCGGCTTCATCATGTGCCTACAGTAAACATGTAAAATGGATACAATCCATGGATTGGTGTGTTTTTAGATGGGGTATACCCATCAAGTGGTTCGGGACAATAATGAGAAACCATGGGGTTTTTGAGACTTGGAGGGCATGCCATTTTCTGCAAACCTGCGATGGAAAACTCTTTGTTTTGGCAACGCGAAACAACATTTACGACTATGGTTCCGGAATAAATTTCAATCAAATCCGTTTGTTTTGAAGCAACAAGTTAGCTATCATCCATTATATCCATTCATCATTTATAGATTCTCTTTCCCCATTAAATCCTCTATTTGTGGTGGATTTCTCAGCTAGCCACGTTTGGTTTGGCAACTGACCCTTCCCCTTGGGGCATCCCAAGTTGTTGGCAGATGTTCGCAGGACGCAGTCGCAGGGGCACTGTCTCCAGAGGGTACCTGGCATGGACGGGTCATCCCCTGGATATATTTAAAAAAAAAAATTGTTTCTGAAGGCGCAGTTTAGTATTAGGGCCTATTAGGGGGACGGGATTAGATATGATTAGATCATATTAGCGCATAAATTAGTGCATATGGATAGATGTATGGCTGGATGGATGTGTATATATATAATTAATAAGAATATTATATATTTACAATCTAATATATGTCAATATTTATCAATCCATCCTGAAGTCGATGATCATGTGGTACACCCAATAAATAAACCATCCCAATGTTCACCTGAAAGGAGCTAAACAGTTGGGCGTGGCACGACACTATCTGGTTGGTGGTTTGGAACACGAATTTTATTGTTCATCATATATGGGATGTCATCCTTCCCATTGACGAACTCCATCATTTTTCAGAGGGGTGGCGGCTGAAACCACCAACCAGCTATCAATTCCCTTCCAAAAATCATGGGTTTTCACAAAAAAAAATGCAAAAAGTTTGGATCAACCGGCTGGAATCAAAGGAACTTCCTGGAAAATCCGGCATTTTATTGTTGGAAAATCCATGAAAAACCTATTGAAACCTCAATTTCGTTCGGGGATTTTTCGGCCTAACATCAGAATTCGACCGTATTTACGTCGCAACAAGGGGTGTTTTTTGTGGGGAATAACCAGTGGTCACCATGGCTTCAATACTAAAAGATGTTCAAACTTGTTACCCTCTGGTAATTTAACATAGCTATTGAAAATGGCCATTATAGTGAGTTTTCCCATTGATAGCATGGTGATTTTCCATAGTTTTTTGTAGGTTTACCAGAGGGTATCCCTAAAATCTCTATCCCTAAAATCTCTTTCCCCAGTCGGAAACACCATTGGTTTTTCGTATCCCAGAGGGTATCCCTGGTCACTTCGGAAAGCTCGAGATCTGGTTCTACAAAGTGGTGCCGCCCAGTTATGTTTGTTGGTTAACAAAAGCCCCAGTAACTATAGTTATAAGATGTTATAAGATGTTATAAGATGTTATAAGATGTTATTTGCGTACCATAAACCATAGTTATTGGAGTTATGTGAACCCCAACTGAACGCGATTTCGTGGCCGGGGGCCTCACATTGTATAATCATATATATAATGTCAACCCTGGATTAATAAACCCCAAGGCTGTTTACTTGGGAGGGTACCATAAAAAAGTATTAGATTATGACTATTGGAGGAGTACCCCCCTAATTAATAAACCATGGTTTATTAATCCGGGGTTGACATATTATATATATACCTTAACCTTCCAATGGTTCACTTTTTGTTAGGCAACCTGGAAATCCAACAATAGTTAGTTCGATCAAAAATAGTTGTTCACAAGAATTTCCAGAAATTATGAATTCCACATAATTCCACAACATATGTATCACCTGAATATGTTAATTGTACATTGGAAGGGTTTGCCACCCATCACCACCCCACACCAACTCTTTTTTTCTCATTCCCACATTTGCAAGGCGTGAACCAAATACTTCCTAATAGTACCAATTGGAACACTACCGGCATGTGTACTTCTTGACATTCTGGAGCAAATCCCAACAAAATCTTCCATCATTGGTGTGGCAAATGCTGCAGGGTTCCAAGTCCAACGCTTGCTTTGGCGAAGGGCATCCCAAAGTTCTTCATGCCAGTGGGCTGTATAATGGCACTTTGGCGTGTAGCCAAACAAACACCAATTGCGGTTGAACCAGTAGATAGCCAAAGCCTCAAAGGCAAACAGGAATTTCAAGAGGTGCTCACACCCATCCTGCTGCTGAACGGGACCAAAAAAAAGCCGATCCTCATGTGTATAGCACAGCCGCAGGAATGCATCCAGGTGTAGCAGGCCTTCATAAGCATGCTCCAAGGGCTCCTGGGGACGCCAAGGCATTGTGCCAAGTAGGTCCAGCAGCCACTTGATCCACAACGTAGTGTCAGCAGCTTTGCAATTCGAATCTGGGAAATCTCTGTTGTTGATCCATTGCAGATTCTCAGGGGTAAATTCTTTCAAGTCGCGAACGCTTTGGCCAGTGCAAGCCAACCAACTGTCAAACTGAGCAAATGCAGCATCTAGGCATCGCTCCTTCCTCTTTCCAGGGCCAGGCTCAGGACTGAACAGCCCCATTGGACCACAGAGCATACAGGTAATGCTGGCACAAAAATTTCGAGCACAACCATGCGTGATCATATGCAAAAGATCCCACTTCAAGAATCCAGGGTGGTCACCGCCAGGCACCAGAAACATGGGTGGCTGCATGTCTCGGCTCCAAGGAACTGATTGGAAAATGGTCTTGCGCCAAGCCGCACGTAGACCAAAATCTTCAAAAGGAACATCACTGCGAGTGCTTGCATGGCACCATGGACACACCTCCACTCTGAGATGGCCTCTGAGCGAGTGGCAAACTTTCACCTGGAAGGGGTGATCTCCAGCAAGCCCCAAGAACACCAAGAAAAAGCGACCATACTCAGTCTCGATGCCTGTATAGTATGATCTCGAAGCAGATCGTCCACACTCCAGCATCAGCCTGTCAAGGACTGGGTTTCCAGCAGCCGCTCCCATGTTGAACTTCGAGTAGTACTTGTGAGGGCATGTAGTGATCAGGAACAGTCTGTGGATGGCACCCAACCCGGCACGAAGCAATGGCCCCCAAAGCAATTGCATCACAGGTTTTCGACGATGACCAACTCCTTCATCGCCATGCAGCATGCACGGCAAGCAGAACTCCAAGTTTCCACCATGTCTAGTGTAGACATCGTGATGGGGATCCACCTGCAGCATTGCCACACCAATGGTGAAGGGGATAATTTATAATAAGCCTTATAACTTATCATGTCCCAACTCGCATACACCAAAAATTTTAGTAAAAAAAGTGTCTTTATTAGACAAGAATCTTCCTTGAATTTCTCCCAAAACGTCAGCACTTCAGTTTTCCATGTATCCGTTTGGTCAATGGGGCAGCCCAAAAGCTTGCTGGCATACTTGGAGTTAAGCAGAAAGGACCCCATGTCCCAGATGCTCAACATGGGATGACGGTGACCACCCGTCATGTGTTTTTTCCTCTTCTTCTTGTTGAACTGCCGCTTGTAGTACTTTACCTTACCACGGCAAATGAATGATTATATAACATTCCCAAAAGTAATATAGACCCTCACAATGGCCCATGCTTAGATGCCATGAACTTAGTCTTGCAACACCATAATGTTACTCGGGCGAATGGTATCATTAACATCTAAATTTGGAAGGGTTATTTTCCAATCGAAAGATGTAAAGTTTTGCGCATTAGAAATTGCCAAAGTTTCCAAACTCTTGGGGTTCTTGTAGAACATCTTCCCCAGTAAAATTTGTTTGGTCCATTTTGGGGTTACCCATCTCGAGGGTGCTATGATGTTATGACCCAGGATGGATAGACAGTGGATGACCCATGTAGAATTATCCTACGATAGTTGTGGGTGAGAAAAAACACCATTGTTTTTTTTTGGGGGGGGTCAATGATGTTCATGGGGAACAGTCCTATTAAAACCCATTGTGGATGCAAAAAACATTTGGATGTTTTGCCAGGGCCCAACAGTGTTCTTGGAATAATTTTTGAACTATGCCCATATCAATCTCAATCGTAAAATTTTTGGGCACCCGTTTTTTATAGTTGGGAAATCTCAATGTCAATCAAGGCACCCCAGTGATCCAAGTGATGTTGCAACCCAACATCAAACCAGATCGTTCCATATGGATTGTAAAGTCACGCCCACGGTTTTTGCTACTAGAAGCTTCATGAACCTGGGCTATCTCATCAACAGCCAACTTCTCCTCTGACCACCGCGCCAACTTGCTCGTGCTCCACGCTTGCTTCGCAGCTGCTGTGGCAGAAGTGTCCTGGGCAGTTGGTAGGAATGGTGGTGCAACATATGAATTTATTGGTTTCCCTTCTTTACAGGGGTAACAAAAAATTGTTTGATATTTCAGCCATGCTAGTCAGATCTACAGCCAAGAGTCGACAAATGTTTTGAGGATGTCATTCACTGTATCATGCAGTTTCTCTGAACCTGCGAGGGGGAACGCAATGGTGAAAACACAAAATGTTTATGTTGGAAGCACTTGCAACAGCCATGACGCAACATTTTTTGCAATTGCGAGCGATTTCAAATCGCAAAGTCTCCCCATGCCACATGGTTCAACACAATACAGCTCAGCCAGAAATACTGGAAGAATTCCACAGGTATATGTTTTGTTTCAACCAATATTTTCAAACAAAAAAATTGCAGGGATATAGTGATGACCCAACCAATACTTCGCTATGATTCGGCCAATGAGTTTAAATCAGAAGGCTAAGCTGCACCTAATGGGCTGAAGCTATGGCGTTTCAATTGCACCGTGCCGCACTAAGCATTGCGGGGTGGAAGGTTTGTCCCACCAAGCTAGTGAGGAGTCTGGCAATCATATCAAAATTTGGCATTATTTTGGTCAAAATAGTTGATTTAAGCCATCGCCCCTCATGGTCACTTCACACCTAAGATTCCTGAACCTGCGAGTCCGCTGGCACTGGCTTGGCTTTTGCCTTGCTTTTCGCCGCCGACTTCACAAAGTGGGTCCTTAAATGCCAAGTTTGCCAGCTGAGACCCTCTTGAATGTGTATCCCCAACATAAAATGAATTATAACATCTTAATGGTAGAAATGAGTTGGGGAATTTCCTTTACCAGGTCTATAACAGCAAAGGGGGTTTTGGATGTACACCCAGGCACTTGTGTGGAACCAATAAGATCTGTAGACCTTTCCAGGGTTATACAGAATAAAGATTAAAGCCAACCCCTATTTGAATAGACTACATGCAATGATGTTCCGGGAAATATACCAATAGATATTTTATAATAACGGTGTCAATAAAAACCACAGTGATAGCACTGATAGCACCCAACAATCCCATTGAGGACCAAGTTTCTTGACTTGGGCATGTGCATTCTGGAAGCCAATGCACCTAAGCTTGGTGAGTT